GTAAGGGAATTCAAGAGACAAATTACATATTTGCTGCTTGTAAAGAACCCCAAAACAAACAACAAAAAAGTTGTCAAATTCAAATTGATCGGACCTTTTGAGACCGTTTGTACGCGGAGCTGATTTTCGCGAAGGGTCTAGATTTTCCTCGTTTGGGACACGTCCAGTGCTGAAACAACCGTGTTAGGACAATAGTTATCCGGGCGATAGGCTATAAACAAACAGTTGAACTTCGGACTCTGATATCTCGTTCAAACGACGCTGCGCTGCTTCCAAAGCAGCTGGTGTGACAGTGATAACTTTGTTGGAACCTGCAGTTACAAAGCCTGGGAAGAATGCGGGTGGGACTGTCGTAGCTCCGCTGGAAAGGAAAACAATGTGTAAGTTCGTTTTTGAAGCATACCGCTTACTTGTCTGGCAGATCTTCAGGAGAGGAGTTGAGGCGTACTCTTGCAGCGTTGAGTGCTTCTTCACTAACTTTGATCTCGCTTCTTGAACCGGCGGTGAAAAACCCACTGAAGTTATTGGAAGGCTGCCCTGTAAAAACTGCATCCCTGGTTGAAAAGATGCAAAAACAGCTATTCCATCACCTTCAGCAACTGAAGCGGAAGTTACATCCCTCGACCTAAAATGATTCAGATATTTGAATAAAAACGTTGTTGAGATAAAAACCTTTCGGTCTCTTGATTGTTCTCGGAAGGGGTAAGGTCCAGCTGTTTATGAGTATTAGTTTTTTCTTGAGAATTGCTGAAAATCAATCTGAAACTTCTTAAATTGTACTGGAAATAAAACTTACAGTTTCAAACTCTCTTCGAAGGAATCCTTGATATCTTGAGATGGGGTCATAACATTGGTGGTTTAGTACCACCTAATAGCTTCTTTCTAGTAATAACGAATTGACAGTTTCAAACGAGATGGATCGCGGGCTGTGTCGATGACGCGCGACAATCGAAAAATGTTGCGCCTATGCGAATTCAAAAATTTCGATGGAGCGCTTTTGCACCAATTTTGAACTTTCGTTCACGTCCTCTCAGCTGTTCCCTTGGCATCACGGATCTATGCAATATCAGGGCTCTTCTATTGATGTGAGTGTTTTGTTGTATTATGTCAAGAGTGCAGAAAGTTTGCACTTGGATTAAGAGCTATGTTTTGTAGCACTCCATAACATCTGTATCGTTCAACTATAAACTTCACTGAAGTACGAAGTCAGATCACGTTAGTGATTAAATCCCGCTTCTCTTATCCAGTTGTTTGTCCTCTCGTTGTTCTTTTGTTTGGAAACTTCAAGAAATGTTGTTGCGTGTTGTCTTGTGTTGTGCTGTGTGTTGTATCGTGCTCGACACCTGCTCTGTGCAGATGACTTCTGGGATGTCGAAAATCGAAAGCTTGCCGTCTTGCCGCTTGGACGTAAGGCAGGAGGCAGCAAAGGCTAGCCGCTTTTGCTTTTGGA